GGTCTCTTGTTGCCAATCACATAAACCGATCACCTGCATCTCATTTCGCAGCCTGCCTGTGCAGCTGGTCTCCTCTTTCCTTCACACTGCACAAACGTGCGGCAACAAACCCAGGCGATGTCGTGTGGAACTATAACACACTGAGTGAATGGGGACGTTTGCGTGTTGCTGCGGAAAATTGAAGCACATGGGGTGAAGCACGTCAAAATGCATCAACACGATGAATCTAATATGGCATAAAAACAATGCCATGCCATACTTGACGGAGTTTGGCTACATAGAGGCTCACTGCAGTAAAAAATACATTTGGAGCGATTCTTGAATTTTAACTATTTCTGGCTTACATGTAATGAAAACTCAATATGTAGTGTCTAAAAAAAAAAAGAATATAACAAAAGGACAATTAAAAAAATAGACTTTAAACACTAATGCCAAGCTTTTGGAAAGCATGTTCATTTCTATGAACTCAATACTTGGTTGCGTCCTGGAGCCCTGGGTTTTTGAGGAAACCAAGCATGTGCAGGTTGGCCTCTTGTTTCATCTCTTTTACTGGTAGGAAGATTCCATGTCAGAGTGAGCTTACTATTAAAAATATGAAAATAACTCAGAGAATTGATAAGGGGTAATAGCTAGTCTAGAAAGTGGGACCTATTTTAAGTTTTTCTAAACTTTTTTTAAAAGTTTAGAAAAACTGGAATTGAAAGTGACGATATCAGCTCAATAGGATGCCATCTTAGAGGATATTGAAAGTCTACAATTTAACAGAAAAGGTGTTATGTTTGATCTTGATATGTTCTGCTGAGTAACATCAGTTTACCTTATCAGTAGATTTGGCGGATCAGTTGATGAAAAGTCCACTGGGATGATTCCACTGGTCAACAGCCAAAATATTGTCTGGGGTTTTACAACTGTTAGGATTATTTTATGAGCTGAATCCAAAAATCACTTTGGTTTTGCTCAATCAGGTCAACTTTCTGAACTATGGAGCAACATGACCATCAAACACATGACTTGTTCTCACATCTGGATCGGTTTCCTGAGAATCTGATCAATGAGTGATGAGCAGGAGCAGAGATTCCATCAGGACAGAAAAGAGACTGAGAATTTTACACAATCAAGCCGTAATGTTCAATTCACATGTACTTACCCTTATCAGTATTTATTATACAATTTACAAAAATCCAAGTTTGTAACATTTAATTAATACATTCTGTTAGAAAACCATTTTTTCCCCTAAAACATTTTTGGATGAGATATATTAACAGAAGTGAACTGATAATGTCACAAAAATGTTATCAATTTAGTCAGAAGATCAGATTTCTCTAACGGAATTTAGAATAAAAACCTGATTGAGAAAAATGGATGTCATTTATTGATTCAACGGTGCAAACTAATCCCAATTCAGTTGAAAAAACATAGACAGCTTCCAAAATATATATTTTTTGTAACTCAGTGTTATAAGATATCTAATGTCTGGGAAGCATAGAACCATATCATCAATGCTGCTACACAACTTAAAGGTGCAGTACGGGGCCATGAAAAAAAAATTATTGAGAAAGGGGAACGTTTATACAAGATGTTTCTTGTTCCTTCTCCCTTTTCACTCATGTAGAGTAAATGTTGTAATAGAATATGCTTTGTTAAATTGAGTGAATAAATTGAGTGCTGTCCTCCACAGTGGAGCCGGTCGTGAATGCACAGACTAGTTAGCATGGCCACCGATGACGGTGGCTGAACAGTATTCCTGTAACTTTAGGTTGTTTCTCCACCTGTAGCACAGCTGCAGTAAAACAGCAATCTTGAGCTTGTGCAGGGAAAGGTGTGAGCAGCATAAGTGAATGTGCTAATGCCTTCTTCCAGGCTGTGATTGGTTGTTTCTGAACCAAAGCAGTGTATTTCTGCAGATGGCACAGAGGAAGCAAAGCAGTTTGATTTTTATTGTATTATACTGAGTACATAGTGACGGTTAACAAATATGTAAAACACATATTTTTTTATAAAAGACATCTACTGCAGATTTGAAGTATCTGTTTTAAAGATGATTAAGTAAAATAGTTTTGTATCCCAGTCAAAGTCACTGACTGATCTGTTCTTACCCTCAGGCTCATCACAGAGTCCTGGTACTTCAGAGGCAAGCGACTGGCTGACAACTCCCTCGCTACCTCAGGTTTAGTACTCTGTGCAGTTTCTGCTTTAAAGTAGCAACTCCTACCAAGTGATACCTACTATTACATCTTATTTTAAAGAAATGTTTGTTTTGTGAACGGTCTCATCACACATTAATTGCAATAGTACGTATGTCACAGATGATGTAAAGCCAGTGGAAATGTTTTATTCACCACCTCCAGCACATGCCCTATGCAAGCCCTCAAGGAGCGCAAAACAAAACAATACATGTTTTGTGAAACATGTTTGTTTCCAAAGACACTTTAAAAGAAATCACTAAATTGACCTTATATTTGTTTTCCAGTTTAAGAAAAAGAGGAACTCCCCATCCTGCTTGGTTTAGTGACTGACTTTAAGTAAAGAACTGTGGTCATCTGAACTTCCTGACTGATGAAGCTGCCAGTAATGTGTTTCTTAATACTACCTTCTGAAAAAGCTGATTTCAGATGTTCTAATCCCCTTAGAGTCAAATCCCTGAGGAAGGCAGCAGATCAGAGAATACTAAAGAACCAATGTTCTTTAACAACCAAACCAAGCACGGCCCAAAAGCTTCAGGGGCAGAGAGGTAAGTAATTTGTGCAGGTTAAAGTTGAACAGGCGCAGCCGAGGTGTTGAGGGGATCCGTTTTGGTGGCCTTAGGATTGCCTCTCTGCTTTTTGCGGATGATGTGGTCCTATTGGCTTCATCAAGCCGTGATCTGCAGCTCTCACTGGAGCGGTTTGCAGCCGATTGTGAAGCGGCTGGGATGAGGATCAGTCCCTCCAAATCCGAGGCCCTGGTCTTGAGCCGGAAAAGGGTAGAGTGCCTTCTCTGGATCAAGAGGGGTGTCCTGCTCCAAGTGGAGGAGTTTAAGTATCTGGGGTTCTTGTTCACGAATGAGGGAAGAAAGGAGTGGGAGATCGACAGGTGGATTGGCACAGCGTCTGCCGTGAAGTGGGTGCTGTACCGGTCCGTCGTGGTGAAGAGAGAGCTGAGTCAAAAAGCGAAGCTCTCGATTTACCGGTCGATCTACGTTCCCACCCTCATCTATGGTCATGAGCTTTGGGTCATGACCGAAAGAACGAGATCACGGATACAAGCAGCCGAAATGGGTTTCCTCCGCAGGGTGGCTGTGCTCTCCCTTAGAGATGGGGTGAGAAGCTCGGTCATCCGGGAGGGACTCAGAGTAGAGCCACTGCTCCTCCACGTCGAGAGGAGCCAGTTGAGGTGGCTCGGGCGCCTCACCAGGGAGGCGTCAGGATGCCTCCTGGACGCCTCCCTGGTGAGGTGTTCCAGGCACGTCCCACCGGGAGGAGGCCCCGAGGAAGACCCAGGACACGCTGGAGGGACTATGTCTCTCGGCTGGCCTGGGAACGCCTTGAGGTTGGGGT